GGAAAGAGGTTGACACAAATGTTATGCAAGAATGTGAACTCAACTCAGAAATGTTCTTAGGGATTTTTTCCTTTCCATTTATGTGGATGTTGGCAGTCTCTGCCTGTTTGTCAGAGGCCCTACACCCTCAGTGAGGCAGCCTGAACTCGATGGAGTTCCTTACTGATTTTGTACTGCGTCTTTGATAAGAACCCAAAAAGTGATCAGATGTCTAATGTGATGACAAGACCAAAAAGCAGTTTTGGCAGTGTGAAGTTTAAAATTGCAGCATGTCATGCATCAGAAAACTATGGAATATTTATTTATTGCCCAAGTATCAATATCAATAATGTTAGTAAATATGTCATCAGCAGTTAGCAAGGTATGTATTGGTGATATACAAGACTACTTAGATCCTTTTCGACTTTTATGCCTTGGATTTGCAAAGTCAAATGAATAATAAATTAACAAGCAGCTATTTGGCAACTGTACAGTGAAAAACACCCTTCTCACTACAGATTATATATGTACATATATATATATATATAGAGAGAGAGAGATACCTAAGAATACCGTCCCCAACTGTCACAGGTCTGCTAATCTATAAGGTTTCTTCCTGAAGTGAAGCTGTTTTCGTCTCTTCACAGAAGTAAAGATGCTCATGTTGCTTTAATGAAATCTGTCATTATTTTATCAAGTCTTTATCAGGACAAAACCAAAACTATTTTATAGAAACAGCTATAATAGTAAAAACACGAGGAGCAAAATATGTCTTCACATCGTCCAAAACAATCCTTGAAAAATTTCTACCATAGCATCATAAAGAAGCCTGTGTATTTTTGAAGTGTATGATTTTTATCAGAGCTGACTGAGAGATAAATATAAAGTAAGTATCTGAGGGATACAGTCCCTTCTTAGCTTATGAATAAATTATTTTTCTTTTCTCAAATCAATGTGTTTTTTTTACTCAATTCCATAGCTAGCTATCGGACTATAGCTTGTTTGCAAACTTTCAGATTAATAGTAAAGTGGTCAGGTATTCTGTCCACTGTGATTGTTGTAAATCCATTTTGCATGTCCCTTTTGCCTGAAAACACAAGCCTTACTCTTCTGCCAAAGATCTTTGTATTTAACCAGCTCAAAAGTTGTTTCTTGCTGATTTTCTGTGCTATTGTTTTTACTGTGATGGTGCCTAGGAATCTCAGTCAGGATGACAGGATCCTATAAACGTAGGATCTTCATTTTCCAAAGCGGTTATCCATGTAAAAATGAGTTCCTCACTGACCATTTGTGCTATCATGCTCATTGCGGCATGGTCTTTTAAAGGCGAGAGGCCGGTCTGCCCCTAGATTGAGTGTGGGAACTCGTAAGATAACAGCTGAAGGTAACATATAGATGAACAAATAACAGTATCAATGAAGTTGAACATTTAGAACAGTACTTACATTCTATCTAAACAGGTGTTGACATCTTCATCTTTTTCATAGTCCTTGCACAGCTGGGCTACCAAAGCCCCATACGTGAGTACAAAAAGTTCTCTGCTCTGCCAGAAAAGGTGGAAAGTGAAAATGAAGCAAACTAGAATAAAATTTTTCCACTGAACTGCTACTGTATTAAAAGCAAGCAAAAATAACATTTACATTAATAAAGAAACTTTTGTTCATGGGCATGTAATCGCTGAAATCCACTATTCAAGTGTGACAGAAACTGAACTGATCATCACTTGAGTCTCTGTACAGGGATTTTGCTTGTCAGAAATACCATTTCTTGGGATATAGCTACTTTCATCAGGTGCATTCTTGCATCGTCTAACTGCACATATGTATGCTGGATTGATAAATGCTCTCAAATGCCATCCAGGATTAATGATAAGCATCTAGTTGCAGGAAGAATAATAAAGGCAATGAGCTGTCAGTCCTTTTACAATAGAACAATAGTATATCCACTGATATTCCAGTTCCTTCACAAAGCTGTGCACCAATCTGGAGGAAGTTTTCTTCCCACCCTGCCCTGCCAGATCACCGCCACGACACTGCAGAATTGAGTGTATTTAGCAGGAGTAGCAGCTGGCCCTTAGGCGAGAGACTGGGTTGACTCTCACTAAACTTCTTGGACAGGAATTAAAGGAAGTGCTACAGGCCTGCGACACGTAGAGGTGCTTTTCATTTATAGCCTATGGAAAAATTAATAGTGAATACCAGTGAAAACAATAGAACAAATCACACAAGGAAAGGAAGAACAGCTTGGTGGAAAGACCTCTTCCTGCTCCCTTTGCATCAAAAGCTTGGAGTTTAATCAGTGTTCCCACTTTACCAAGTCACTGTTCAAAGTCTTTAGTATGGAACCATTTCCTAAACTCGCCTTGGTGATAATTCCTGTTTACAATAATATTGCATACCTTGCCAAATTCTCGCTAACAAGTTTTTAATGGAGTAAATGGATGTCATACAGGTTCTGTATTATTCTAGTCTCAGCAAAAAGTCTGTGTTGTAATAAGACAAATACCTTAGACAAACTTCAGCATACTCTGTCAACATAATTGTATTTATCAGCCACTCTTGCAACGTGTTGGAGTATGTTTTGTCCATAAACTTTTGTATATTAACTTTAATTATATTATATACTTCTATTTCTTTTTTCAGTGGAGACCTTTGTCCCCTTTTCAGAAATTGACACAACATTCTCCTAAAGCCTTCTGGAACTTCTCCACTGCCCCAACTCCTATCAAAAATCACCATTCACCATCCAGAGAGCCCAAAGGCTCTATATTCCTGAAGAAAGATTTGTGTGGAATTGAACCATCCAAGCACAGAACAGAGATCTCCTCTCTGCGTTTCATTTAATGACTATCTAACCACAGAGGCACATAAACTTACCTGGCATTTCTATCTTTGACCACAAGTCTCTCTAAGCACTTAGACCTCTGCTTCTGAACAGATCCCAGTCTCAGCAACTTTGTGCCAATCTTTCCTAAGCCTGTTCAGAATCTCAGCACTAGGGATAAAGTAAAACCATGCAGTTACGTGCCCAGTGAGCGAGACAGTCACTTTGTTCTTGTTATCACTCTTCTACAGTTGTCTATGTTCTCTTATCCTTACTAGCAACTTCCTCTTTCTTCAGTTTGTTACATATATGTATACATAGATACATGTGTCATAATTATACTTTTAGACGCAAACTTATTCTCTTCAAAGCACAATACTATTACTGGGTTTTTTTTAAATCACTGTGGCCTTATTTCTGCATGATGGCACTTTTGGTTTTTTGGACTTGTGGTAAAATATTCCTAAACAGTTAGAAAATTTTAACCACAGATAGAGATTCTGAGGAAACTTGCGATCTGAATTTTTTGTATTTAGACACACCACTGCCAGAGAACAAGAAGGATAATAACTCGTATCTTTAATGGCACAAAATACTCCTTTTTGTGACCATGCAGTTTAAGAAGGCCTCTTGGGAACATCTTGCATGTGGTATATTTAAAACAACTGCTGGAGCTTTAGGAGAATATTAACATGAAGTGCAGAAAAAGAAGGAAGTTTTGGTCTATATAACTTCTACTTGATAGAATTCTGTGCTATGTGATCAATGGTCAAAGCTAACATTCAAAGACAATGGTTACAGTTTTACCATTGTTTCCCAAAGAATCAGATTTTGGCCTTAGAGTCAGCTGTTGAGATCCTGTGATGCTGCACTCCCTGGGCATAGAAACATCACAACATTAGGAGGATGAAGAAGGACCTCTGCTCGTGCAACATCACCCCCAAAAGGAGATGTGGTCTGCCATGTAGGAGGCACACAGTGGGTACCAGGTATGCTGCGGTCCCAGATGAACCATCTCTTCCTGTAACTGTTCATGGGGTAGAGAGGTGGCCGGCACAGTTTCTTTTCTCCAAAACAAGAACAGAGTTTTGGCCTCAAGAATTCATGTTGAGGGCAGGACTGTCTGAAAATAATTTCATATCATAGTCAAGGTAGCTGGAGAGACATCAAGGCTCCTAGAGCAAATCTCAGTATTACTGCTCAAAAAGACTCTAAGAAGTCGTATGAGCAGGCTTTTTTATGTCACTGCTAAATAGCTGGAAGCTTGTTGGCAGCTCACAAGGGGGTCCCACTGTAGCCATAAATGCTGCCAGCACCTCTGCTCTCATACTGGCAGCATCATCCCCGCCCTTTCAGTACTTTCAGGCTATTTGCAAATATGATTCTATAAAACACACCAGTATAATAATAGCTTATTCTTACTCCATGCACAGTTTTAATGACACCTTACAAAAATGTCTTACTATTTTGTGGTTCTCCTGCTTTTTTCCTGGTGGCCGAGACATATTGCTTGTGTAACATCAGACGAACTTGATTGATTGTCAGTTTATGTCTTTTCTTCTTCAGGCAGCATAGGTTTTTCTCAATCGCTTTTTCCCTTCTCTAAAGTTTTCTCCTTTCTGCTCTTCTGCCTTTTGCATGAGATGTGTTTGCTGCACTCTGTAATGCTGGTGATGCTCCTCCTATTCTCTACGTGTACCGAGCCCTTTGGGAGGAACTTGATGGGCAACAGATATGCCCCTGTGCACAATATAAATAACAGCTCCATCCATAAGAATGATTTGTAATCAGATACGCAGCAGCCATGGAAAGTCAAAGTGGGCACCCCCAAGAGATTCACAAGTCTTACATTTTTAGGGACAGTAAATTCATTCTGTTGTTTGTGTGAGGTTTTGGTGTTTGGAGAGTTAACAAAAGCTCCATCTCTCAAGAATAAAAACACAATTGCAAGATATTGCTGCACAAGGTAATTAAAAATTGATCATTTTCAACTTAAAAGGAGCTATGGTCTGACTGCTTTAGTCTGGTGAGTTACTGTCTGCCTAGGCAGGAGCAGTTCAGGTTACAAGGCACTACTACCACTGTGTTTCTACAAAGCTGGCAGGATAGATCTAGAGCACTCAACTCCCAGAGGAATAAACTGTGTATTAAATTTCAATTAATTAATAGATTTGGTGCTAGAGTACAATTCCAGGTATTTACTACCCCAGATACACAGAAAGCAGCAGATGTGATTCACTGGGGATAAGAAGGATTAATTTACTTTAAAAAATAGTAGTTAAAAGTTATGACACAATTCAACAACAAAAAATAGCACAGATAAAAGGATTTTCAGCTTTTTTTGTGGAAAAAATAGTCATCCTAACAGCTTTCATTTTATACAGAATGAACCGGTGTTGACAACTTTATGATATAAGCCTCTTCCATTTTTTTTCTAGGCACTTTTCTGGACCTGTAAAATCCAACTCCATTTTACAAGGGAAACTATTGTAGGTACTTCCCATATCTAAATTTAAATAAATTATAAAAGCCAGGCATTACAATTCTCTAGATAGTTACCCGCATTTCTAAATTGAGTCTGAGATGTGTTTGTTTCTCAGATTGTCTCCAACTAGCGACAAGCACCAAATACATCTCTCATTGCAAGAGACATCCCATATTCCATAAGAAAGTGTACTGCATTGTGTTTTAAAAAAACAGCTCTAAAAGATCATCACTTGCATAATTTAAATGCAGTGAAACCATCACAAAGCACTTAAGGCTACCCATAAATGAGTACCATTTTATTTATCCAGTTCTGAATATAAGGATGAATTACTTCAGCCTGCATTAGTAATACCTCAATCATGAAGGAACACTGTGCACCAGACAATGCAATGCATGGTAAGAACACATCAGCATTGTTTGGAAAATAGATACATGCACACATGTATACATGTAAATTCACACATATAATATGATGTAATAGGTAAACTGTACTATGTTTTGAAAGGTTTGCATAATTGAGAAAATGAAGTTGAAACGGCATAGGTAAACTGTACTATGTTTTGAAAGGTTTCCACAATTGAGAAAATGAAGTTGAAACGGTGTGTCCAAATAAACTGAGGATTCAGATGGCTCCAGTGAGGGAAAGAAGTCACTGGTGGACTGCATCCACATCTTCAGGAACAGAACAAAATTGCCTTCTTAATTTTAACTGTTGTCTGACTTGCAGCCCTGTGAAAAGAGTAGAGGTTGGCACATATCTGGCACCTGTTTTAAACCTTACAAAGACTGCTCAGAAATAATACAAGGCAATTTGAGTAGTGAGGAAGTTAGCATCACAGTGCACCTCCCTTTCTTTCATGTTTGTTAGGAGAGGATTTTAGCCTTCAGCCCCAAGAAGGCTGGTCTGGCACACTGCTTGAGCATTAAACTACACCAGTTCTCTTCATTCCCATTAAACTGAAAAACCTTACAAAGACTGCTCAGAAATAATACAAGGCAATTTGAGTAGTGAGGAAGTTAGCATCACAGTGCACCTCCCTTTCTTTCATGTTTGTTAGTAGAGGATTTTAGCCTTCAGCCCCAAGAAGGCTGGTCTGGCACACTGCTTGAGCATTAAACTACTCTTCATTCCCACTAAACTGAAAAAAACCCCATAAAACTCAAAGGATCTTCTGAAGTTCAAAAGCATGGATAAAAGTGTGCAACAGCACCCTATCTCTTATAGTGGACTGGTTATTGTGGGAAAGCTGAAACCCATAGAGACAAGCACATGGTATCTTTATTAGTCCAGTATCTAAAGATTCTCCCAAACATGAATATCCCAGGGCAGACTGCAATATGAATTGCGGAGTCAATAATGAATTAGGTGTCAAATGCCTAAAAAAAACACCCAAAAAAGTTATTTGAGCCAAAACAAGAATACCTTTGCCACAAAAGATGGGTGCCCGAATTAGTAAAATACAGGATCAGGTTTTTGTTTGCTCTCCACCTCCAGCTCAACAGCTTGTGTTAAATATTACACTTGTAGAAAACTGAATTATTTCAAATTGCAAGAAGGTAGGTGGTGGGGGTTTGAAGCTACATGAAAAAAAAGAACCTGAACACAGGTTTCCCACATCACAAATGAGTGCTTTTACTCAAAGCCCAGTGTGGCTGCTGCTTTGGCCATGTTTCAGAATGAAGCAGTGCTGTTGCTGCCACCTTGCCTGTAGTGCCCTGCCCGGGAAATGCTTTTAGCATGACCTGCTGAAACTTCCTTGGTTAGGTTAGGCATCTCAGGAACTGTTTCCAAGAGGGTATTTTTTTTATTTGGGTGCATACTTTCTGCTGAAACTCACCTGCAGGCACCTAAAATTTCATATAAATTTGCCCGTAAAGCACAGCTGAATTCTGAAGTAAAATATGTAAGTTAAAAAAGAATCATCAACAGGTTTCTATTCTTCCCTTAATATAAGCTTATTGATGATTTTCTCATCAGTGCTTGTCCTGGTTAAGGGGAGAGGAACTTCTCCTTTAACCAGGCCAAAGCGACCATGAAAATGACTTGGCAGCTTGAAGCCAACCTGCGACCCGGCAGAATGCAGGACATGGGCAGTGCTCCCCTATGTTCCCACAGGAAATCTGTCATGTAGGTACTTTCATAGTATGCTTTCTAACATGCACAGGCAGGCTTGACATCCACGCAAAATGTAAGTCAAAATGCAGTTAGAGGAGGCGCAGAACGTCAGCCTTTTGACTGCTAACTCAGTGATGAAAATATTTGTGCAGGACCAGAGAGACCAGGGTTCAGTCGCCTCCTCCAAATTTTACAGGAAGGAATCTTCAGATGGAAAATAGAAGAACACTTCCCTCCCCTCTACTTGTTCCTGGCCATTAGATGACAAAATCCTAGTCTTTTTCTGATATAACAAATATCAAAATCCTCTCTGTGGGGGAACTAAATGCAACTGGTAGAACTATGGCAGGAAAGCTGGAGAATATAGCTTCTTCCTACCACAGTCACACCAAATGACTAATAACAAGTGAGCTCTCAGTAGAAAGAAATGAGTGAGCGAATTTTGATTAAGTTAGGGGGAGAAGGGAACTGAAACCCATCTCTCCCTTCTGCCATGGCTGCTTTACTTCAATAAAAAGCAAACAAGAAACAATTTGCAAAAATAGCAAACAAAAACCTATTTGCTTGTGTATGGGAGGATAGGAAGGTGTAATGTGTCTTCCAATAACCAAGTTTTAAAATAAAATGACAAACCATTCAGTTCTCGAAAAAAATCATTTATTCTCAGAAGTGAGCTTCCTGGCAGTGAATTCAAGCTGACAGAGCCCTGCAAAACGACAAGGAAAACCATGGCTAAGGTTTGCCTGTTTGCCTCGGACGTCAGCTATAACCATCTCTTTGCCTCAGAGGCAAACTGGCTGTCACCTCAGGTAGTGGTGTTTTGGATTGGGTTCAGTCCTAACTCTTCCTGGGCATCAGATAAAGACCCTAAATGTCTACCGCAGGACTCTGGGTTCCTCTGCAAAGGCGGTACTTAAAGGTTTGATGTGCTGCCCAAGCTCTTAATTGGATCCAACCCTGTAATTTGTTCCATAATAGGATGAGCCAGCAGGACTGTTTACAGCACAGCATGAAAGCAAGTGACAATGCAGCAGTACAAAGCTGTTTATTGATTGTATAAATTGCCTCATTCAACAGCCTTAGGCTGACTATGAATATTTCAGTGTTGTACCTCTCTTCAGTTTCACATCTAATGTGTTTCTTGAGTAAATAAGCAAGGCTTGGGAAAGCCTTCCTCCCTTAATACAAAATAAGTCACGGGTTCCCAAAGAAAGCTCAGCAGCAATCAACTGGAGATTTTAAAATTAACTGGGGCATAATGGAAGACTCTTATAAAACACATCTTCAAAATAATTCTGTAATAGCTTGATGGGTTTATTCCACTGAATTTAAAGAAGGTAATTTTTTTTTCAAAATATAATGCCCCTAGTACAAAAAAAAGTTATTCAAAATCCTGTGATGCTGAAAGAAAATGAAGCTTCAAAACGGCAGTGTTTGGGTTTTGTTGTGCTAACACTCTGCCCAACTAACCAAGAACTTAACAACAGGTTCCAGAAAAGCTGTAGCAAAGTACTGCTGGATGTTTCAGCATGTTTCTCTAGCGCTTTTAATTTTGTGTAATAGTGTCACATAGTTTTGAGAGCCAATTACCAGCAAGGACCTCATTCACAGATTGCAACTGGGGATGAGGCAAGCAGACTTCACCCTAACAGCGCACTGGAGCGACAAGGTCTTGCCTAGTAAACGGGCAAGAGGTGGGTAACATGCCATCCATGTGTATAGCAGCTGTGAGAGTGTCTCTGTCATCCAAGCAGATACCATGGGTGCTAAAACTACTTTTTGAGCTGAAAGTCATTATTAACAACCCTCTCTGCAAGGGGAGAGAACAGGCTGTGGAGTCAGACACTGTTATATCACACAACCAAGTCCACACATGCTGGAGATAGCCATCTGTAATGGGAA